TCTTTGGCCGGCCGCCCTCGGAGTGGAAGCCATAGGCAGAACAAGCCCCCGCAGCAGCAGCGCGCAGGGTCCCCGTGCCCCCGCAGCCTGTTGGCTTCCTTTGAGCCTCTGAGGAGCCCAGCCCGTGTTTCTGCTCTCGGGGAATGGAGAATCACAAAACGCTTACAAGTTTTAAGTGCTGCCTGTAACGGCAGAGGAGGCCCCTGATGCTTCCTTAGCGAGAGGAAGATGCGAGCACCCCTGAGCTTGCATTACAAACGACGAAAAGTCTCTTTCCTAACCTGAAATCAATTTCATTTCTTGGTGGTGACAGGTCTCAGGAAAATTGCTCGTTGCTGTCCTCTTCAAAGAGCATAGCTGTGATTCGTTGTTAAAAAGTTGAAAGAACTTTTTAAGCACCGCTTCAAAACTTGCTACCTTTAGCAGTGTGTGTCAGCACTTGGAATGATCCTGATGAAATGCCTGGAGATCCTGTGGCCGTGAACTTCAGAACCGCTGTATTTGCTGTCTCGTCATCATGCAGTAGTCTGAAAATTATTATTTAATAATCAGAAGAACTGTGGTTGTGGCTGGTTATCGCTATGTAGTGGCACCGTTGATAATCTAGAAGTTGGGTGGTTGCATATTGATCGTGCGCGAATGGTAAGAAAGGTGACTGGGAGGATGATGTAATGAGAAGGAAGAATTCATCATACTTTTATTTACTTGTCGTGTGGTGATAGCTTTTTTTTTTCTCATTTGGCCCAGTTGCTCATTACAACATTCTGTGATCTGTGTGAAATAGGGTTAGGTTCTGTAGCAAAGAGATAGCTGCATCGTAACGGGCACCCTTGTGCGAGTAGTTTCTGGAGGGTTGTTAAATAGAGTGGCCAGTGTGCGTAACTAATCGGTTAAGGTATTTAAACTCATTTGTTTACAGGGAAATCCACATTTAAATGTAAGGCTGGCTGCTTTCCAGAGTTGCTGGAATTCCAAAAGCAAATAATTGATATTGATTATCAGAAATAAATTAACTCTCTTAACTCTTCTATTTGGTGTAGTTAGTGTGTGTATGGTTCTCAGTGGCAGAATGTAACTTAAATTTTGCAAACTATGAAGCCTAAGGTCAGGAGTTTGGGGATGTAACCGTATGTGGAAAAGTCGGTCAAAGCCGTCGAGTGCGCTGCGCTTTTCACATGTGTTGAGGGCAGGGGAACGGCGTGCTTTGGAGACAGGAGCTTGTGTACACTAACTGCAGGAGAAATATAAAGTGTGACAGTTGCAAAGTAGCAATATATAGAATCTGCATATTTAGCACTGCCTCACTTTCCCTCAGAAAGGAAAAGATAACATTCTAAGTTGCATCAAAAAAAGCTAAAGATTTCCAGCATTGTGGATAGCTATTTAGTGGGGGGAAGTCAGTTCTTGCCTTTTGACTCAGTTACTATTTTTTTATGCCATTTTAAGTGACTGGGGAAGAATGAATTTATGCTCACAAAGTAATATTACTGTATTACATCTTAAACTTTGTGATATGCAGTTTTATGGGGGAGATTGGCATCTAGTTTGTGCACGGTATTACGAGCTCTCTGAATCAATGTTGGGTGTCACAGGAAACTGCTATTTAATGGTACAAAAATTAGGTATCCACATACTTATAAACTATATTGCTAAACGTGAAGCAAAGCAGCAGCAGCTCATGGAAGTGCTCCTACCTGTGGCAGATAGCAGTCTTGACAACATGTGTGCTTAGCCTGCCTGGTAACATCTCCCGAGATGTACCAGAGGGAATCTAGAGCACTGGTGCAGCTGAAGCACTGCTACACTATGCAGTTAATTAGCTGATTTAGACTTAATAGTTATGCCTTACTATGTGCCAGAAAATCCATGATCAGAATCCTAGTCAAGTTCATTTTGCATCCGTGGATGCAGGAAAAATGCAAGTGTGGGGTAGGATCTGAAGGTTCCCCCTTCAGTGCGGAAGGACTTAAAAGCATTAGTGGTTTGGCACAGTGGAATAGATAGGCAGTAAATGAAAAGGGTCCTGTGCATCTTGGAAAGAGAAGTAATTAATATAATGAGTATTTAGTGATTGATTGTAAAGTCTCATTTCTAACAATGTCGCAGCACGTATGCTATTATCTGACTACGCTGTAACTTAAGATTTTCTACACCAAAAAAAAAAAAAAACCTGCACCACCCCACACCCTAGTTCTTGCTTGCTTAGCATTGTTCTTTCCTTTAAAGATGGCATTGGTCTGAGAAATAAATGAAGTACAGTCTGTGTATTACTGCTAAAACTCTTTGTGAAAGAGGAGAGGAAAATATGTATGTAAACTAGTTTGAACAAGTTTCAGGTGGAAGCTATGAAGGAGGAATCTTCTGCGGTTGAAGGAATGGTGTCATTAGTTCACCTGCTCAGTCTATCCTGCGTGCTTATGAATCATTGTATTTCTGTGCAGCTATAACATACCCACACTTCAATATGAAAAAATATTTTGTAGGTGCGGGACTGCATTCAGAAAACGCTGACTGAATGGAGCTCAAAAATTGGACAAGACCTAAATCAGGTAGGAGAGGTGTTACACGTTATCCATGTTACTCCTGAAAACAGAGAAATATGTAGTTGGTTACACGTTGTAAAATAGAAATTAATCTATTAAATGTCTGTAAAAGTATCTGCAGCGCCAGATATCTTAAAAGAGTGTTTCTCAAACCCTTTTTTTTTAAATATTTAGTGAATTTGGAAAGGTTAAGAAATACCAACGTAAAGAATCCTGTTGATGGCAGATAACACAATTCTTAGCAAACTAAAAGTCCTGGTCTGTAAGATTACAAGTTAATTGTTGGGGAAATTGCAAAAAAAAAAAAAAAAAACCCCACAAGCTGTGTACCTTAGAAGTTTGCCAGCATGCTTGTAAAAACTCAATGGAGAGTTATCTAAGCTATGGAGATAATAAACTAGATAGCTGCAGATCGTCCTGTTTGGATGGGACCTCTGAAGTGTAGCCTGGTTGTCTCAGACATATTTCTGAAGATGCAGAAGTGGCAAATTTTCCCTTAAGAGCTAAAGACTTCCACATAATTCTTAAAACCACAATTGTGGGCATCTGACATCAAGATCTTGGTGTATTTGCCTGCTCCTCTTCTACTATTGCTTCTGAAATTCAGCAAAGCAGTAATAGGTTCCCACTAAATACATTATTTGCTCTGTGAAATATTAGCATGTTTCATTTAAAAAAAAAAAAAACAAACCAAACAAAAAAAACCCCTAGAAAACGTTCCTGACTGTTTCTTTGGGTTTTGTTACCAGTTCTTGTGTAATGATGGCATCAACTGCACATTGCTGCATTCCATACTGGAGCGTGGCGAGGCAGTTATTGCTGAATGATTTGTGGAAGATCTAATGATTGCCCGAGAACATAAATAAACATTTGTCTCTGTAATATGTAGTGATCCATTTAAAGTTAATTACTCAGTGTAAGCTAGATTTTACTGTCAAAACATGTTAACTGCATAATTCCAAATTCTTTTATGAATTACATTGGTTTCCAGTAATTAAAAAAAAAGTGTTGACTGTATGGAATAACTTGAAGACTCGCTGGATGACTTTTTGGTAGTGCAGCAAAAATTCCCACAGAATTCTTGGTTGGGGGCGGGGTGGTGTGTATGTATAATACAAAATCTTATGTAGGTAAAGACTTAAAAAAGTCACCTTGTGCCAGCTGACATGAGATGTCAGCCTAGTCTTAAATGAGGTCAGAGAGGTCTGAAACTTTCCTAATTTTCAGTTTCAAAATTACTGTTTTAAACCTGTATTTTACAGCATTTTCACTGTAGACTTTTCATAGGCTTCACTGAAATTACAAAAATACTTTTATGCAAAGATGTTCCTACCCAACACCCCTAATTCTGATAATGCTTTTTTCAGCTGGTCATGAGGCTTTTTTTTAAAGCAAGGCAGTTTGAATTGGCCCAGCAATCTGTTCACATCAGAAAATCAGAACATTGCTAAATCTTATTCCAATAATTCTTATCAGTAATGTGTATTTTTTATATTAGGGGCATATAGGGCCTTTCATACAGCTTCATTTTCCTGACCTCCCCTCAGAGATCAAGAAGCACCGGGTTACTTTCTTTCTGTCATTGCATTTTTATACTATTTTTGTTTCTAACTGCTGTAAGGCTTTTTTAATTTCATTAATTACTTAAAAACATTCTTCAGGTAATTACTGTCTCCCCTTGACGAGTTGTTCCTAAGTCTCATGTACTTACTACAGGAAATACGGGAGGTTCTGGAATGTACTGTAGCTCAAGCTATAGAAAAAATAAATCCTGAAGAAAGGGATGAGTTGAAAGTATCAGGTAAGGACATAGTCAAAAATCTGGTGGCATAAAAAGGTTTCATATGCAATCGTTTATAGGATGTTCATCTATGTATTTTTTTCACCATGTTTTGTAATTGCAAAGTCAAATGACATCAGTGCACGCTGTCATACTTTGGGTAATACAGAAGTTGGCTGAGAGACTTGAATTCATATTTCAGGTTTAAAGCAGCTCGGCATTTTTCTAATTTAACTTGCATCCCCTCAAGACATTTTAAATGTATTTTGTGAATCTTTGACTTTTCTGAAGCAAAATATTACAGATAATACTGCAATTAAGAAATAGCATTGGAAGCACATTTATTTGCATAATTTTTCCAGGTTGAATATGATGAACTTGAAGGAGGCAGTCCAAACTAACACTAGTACATTTTGAGTCTCAGTAAGTTGTGAAGAAGTCTGTTTGTACTATTATATTTGGGGTTTTTATACAGGTTGTTATGGTTCTTGCTTAGTGTCTTGATGCTTAAGTCCTAGCTTTACAGCTTATTAGATCATCTGACTGGATGATTTCTTGTTCTGAGACTGCACAACAACTTTGAAATTTAAGACAATGGTGTCTTTATTGGGCAGTCACCTTTCAGAAGGTTGGTTTTCTCCTAATTTCTGAAGTAATTGGTGTATATTCTAAGAACCCTTTACCCAAGAACTCATAAGTAGTGTATATAGCAAAAGTAAATAGCTATATATTATATAATAGCTGGCTTGTTTAGTTATTGATTCCAGTTTCTTTGAAAATAGCAAAACTTTTCATCGTTGGATCAAACTCTTCATCGATCAGAGATGCAGTTGACCTGGGTAAGTGTGAAACTCAAACTTCTGGTAGGGTTTCTTTTTTTACTTTAGCATTTAGAAATAAAATTAGAACCTTTTCCATCTAAGAGTTGTCTTTAGTGACTGTCACAAGTATGTCCCATTTTCCTGTTGAGAGACTTAGGTAATCAAGTTAGTTCAGTCAGTAAATTTATTAAATGTGGATCACTGTAACCTTGGGTCCACAAAATCAAATCTGATTCCTTGCTCCAAGCAGGAGCATGTTTCTATTCTTTCACACAAAACGTGTTAAAAAGTGAAGAGCATGTGATGTTTTAGTAACAGTGACACAATAGTTCTTACCAGTTGTTGTTAGTTGCCAGTTGTTTTTAACATGATGAACTTTGCTACTAACAGCGCAGTATTTCGGAGATTATTTAGGAAATAAAACAGTGCTACAAGCAGCTGATGAAATAGTTAAGTTTTATTGAAAATGCAATACAATGGCTGTACTGATGCATAGTTTTGTTAGCCTAACATAGCAGTAATTGTGAGCAGCGTTGAATTCTACCACTTTGGAAAACTGTTGGGCATAAGGGATGGCCAAAGAACAAAGGGTCAGATGTCATTCTTTTCCATCGATACCCCAGTTAATAGCCTCTTTATTGTAAGCTGTAGTAGCATTTTAAAAATACATTGATAGACTCCTCCTCCAGAAGAAGATAATTTATTTAGCTACTTAGTTTTATTCTTCTTGCTGTGCAGAAGAGGCCTCATGACTTGTGTCTTTCCTAAAGCTCAGTGATACTCCAAGACTTGCCACTTCTCTCTGGCAATTTAAATCTTCATGTCTGGTGTGCTTTTAGTCTAACTCCTCACATATATCAAATAGTTCTCCTAGTCCATGCCTGGTACTTGAGTTGTACTTTAGAGTGAAAGTTACAAATTTTGGAAGAAATTGAGAGTGAAGGAGTTGAGAATTGGATGTCATCACTGTCTTCAGAGAAAAAATACTGTTTTAACATTGAAAAGGAGAAAAAAGCTTCAGGCTTTATTTGGTGGTGGGGTTTTTGTTGGGTCTTCCCCAGACCAAAATTGAAACTTGGCCTTCAGCTGTATGTCTGATTCTTTGCTAAAAACATAGTGTTACTATCCTTGACTGCTGATCCACTCGCAGTTTCAAATGGTGAATGGGAAGCTAGCAGAGTGAAGCAGGAGGTGTGGTTTTTGCTGAATTTGAAGAGTCACACCACATATGTTCGTATCTCACAAAAGATTTTGCAGTGTCTCTGTTCTTTTTCCTCAGCATGTTCTGCCCTCGGAGTTGCTCAGTTAGACTCAGTCATTATTGCCCCACCTCCTGTTGAAGACGGAACTAGCCTCTCCTTGGAGTATTTGCAACCTTACTGGCAAGAACTTGAAACTCTAGTTCAAAGCAAAAAGATTGTTGCCATAGGTACCTCTGACTTAGATAAAATGCTGTTAGAGCAGCTGTATCTGTGGGCACAGGTGAGAACAAATTTCCTACTTGTAGCATTTCTAGGACAGAGGTGTTATAAACTCCTGTTATAAATGGGTTTATATACACAAAATATTCATTAGCCCTGTTATTTTCAGCATCTTGTGGATGGTCACAATGTTGTTCAAGGTGGGGGAGGCTCTTTAAGTGTGATTGTTGCTTGTTCGGTGTTCTTGCGTACAGGCCAGCAAAGGCTGGGAGCCATGGGTCTGTCCAGTAGTAGGTTCTTTGAAGCAGTTAAGGTTTAAGTTTTATTCAAAACTCTCATATTTAGAAAGGAGTATAAACAGTAGTCTTAAACCTTCAGATTTATTCCAGTGACTCTGAAAACACAGCTGTTTTCACTTTAAGCTGTGCTATGAATAGAGAGTTTTCCCCTTAGAAAAGTGCTGTTTGAGTGCTAAGCTTAAATGTAAAGAGGAGGGCAGGCTGTGAATCAAGTGGCACGATATTTTGTTGTCAAATGTGACCAATTGCCTCTTGCAGCATTTAAGTGATGGAGGTCTGTACTGGTACCTGCCTGTGCTCACGTAAGCTTGTGGATTTACTGTTTCCTTATTAGTTCTTTGAATTCTCCTCTTACAATGTTTTGTTTTGTGGTCTGTGAACATACTCTATCTGTGTAAGAGGTCCTGCTGAGAGTTCTGATCTGTGCTCTTCACTCTTTTGTGTATGCTGAGAGGAGGGTAATTGAGGGGATTAATGACCACCTGCATGGTGATTATGGATGCAGTGTGTGATGAGCAGAGAGCCAGTGGAAGAGAGTCCCTTTTAACTTAATCTGATACAGGCACTTACCTGAAGGCATGGAAGACTGCGAATTATATATCCTTAACAAAAATTATTTGGATTTTTTTAAAGTCTTTTTCAAGCTAACACCCCTATTAATGTTTTTACTACAACTTGCTGCTGTTTAGGGAGTTACAGCAGACAGGAAGCCAGAATGGGTTAGTACACCTCCTGCTGTGGCAGCACCTGAAGTTAGATCCTATCCTTGTTTTGGGCTCTGTGCTGCAGGATGTTGCAGATGGAGGAGTTGCCTGTTCAGCATCACGCAGAATTAATTAGCCTTGCTCAGACCTCAAAACAATGGTCAAAGGCAAATTGTTCAAAGCAAAATTTTTGTTGTAATAGAGGGTATGGGGGAAACAACTAAAATAAGTACATTAATATTTTTCTTATAAAAGTATTCTGTTACTTTCAGGTGAAACCAAGTAGTAATCAGGTGAACCTAGCTTCCTGTTGTGTGATGCCACCTGATCTCACAGCATTTGCAAAACAGTTTGATATACAGCTGTTAACTCACAATGACCCAAAAGGTAAGGCTTTGCTGGATGAGGTAACAGAAGACTTCTAAATGTGTGTATTCAGTACAAAGTCAGGAATAGTCTTTCTCTGAACTTCAAACTTCATTATATTTGAATCCTGAATGAAGGATTCAAAAAGTTTCACCTCTGTAAAATATTTCTTTTAGGTTCTTGGTTTTGCTTCAAGAAAAGGGGGGAAAGCCAATCTTCCAGCCTTGGATAGCTTCTTGAAATCATTTTAATCAGAGAAAATAAAGTAAATAGAAGAACAAACTACTGAGAAATTTGTGCTCCATATGTTAAAGAAATAGCTTATTTCCACAAAACATAAAATGAAATGACAGTTGTATTGCTGAAGGCCAGTAAATGACAAATGAAAGTCCACTTGCCCAGAACTTGTCTGTGAAATAGCTTCCATAGAAATGTTGATGGTCAGTTGATTTTTGAGTAGTTTGGTAATATTAGACATATAAAATTATTACGCTTTAAGCAGGATTCTCTCAAAGTAGTGACTTCTTCAAATAACATTATTACAAAAAGAGCTGGTGTAAATTCTTTACTTTTTTCATGCCAAGATTCGTTTATTAAATGATTGAAGGACTTGGAGGCTTTCCTTTAGACTATAGAACTCTGAGTTACCAGCTCCCTAGAATATTCTGGGGTATTATATTAGTTTCTCTCAGACATCATCTAATCTTCTTCACTGTAATGACACCTTAAATACCTTGCTGGAATTGCAAGTGAGAAGTCTTCAACAATATTTAGTTCATTCCTTCCCCACATTCTTCCTTATGACCAACGATTCATAATGATCATACTTTTCCTTTCTTCTCCTTTCTTCCCACTCTACCCCCCCAAAGAAAAAAAGTATTTATGAAGTACATGTTCTATAGTACCACTGTTAAAACTGAGAATTTCATCAGTGCTTGAGCATGTATCAGCACTGCTCCGGCAGCATACAAGATGAATTGCCATTCAGTCCAACAATCTCCATGTCCTGTGAAGTCCAAAGTGCAATCTGCAGTTTAGTAAATACTCTCTATTGAGAGTCATGAAATGAAGAAGAGGATTTGGATAGAAAACAAAGCAAGGAGTGATTCCCTTATGTGTTATTTGCAAGGCTTAACTTTTCTGTGATGGTCAGCTGAAGAGTAATGAGACTATCTTTTGGGAACACTCCTCATCAGAGATTGTTCCCTTGACTGACTTCCCAGAGGAAACTAGGAGGATTTGTACTTGCCTTCCTCTTCTGCTTTGTGGCATTTAAGCCCATTTTTCTTAATGCTTTGTGGGCCTGTGGTTATTATGAGCCTAGTTATGGGAGATGCTATAAATGTTGAGCTTCCAGTGACTGCAGGGGTAACTAAGAATGCTCAGTACTTTGATTTCAGCCTTACGCTTTACTCGCATCTGGTTTGTCTAGCTAGCTTCTCAAATTTAATTTTCTTTTTTTCCTGCTAATGCCTCTGCTGATCAACTCCATTTGATATTGTAGAAATCTCAGTTAATTAGTTTTGTGGGAGATACTCAATGTTGCAATCAAAGTGTCCTGAAGATTTCTTCTGTAATATTTGGCTGCTTTTACCCTACCTGCATTCCAGAAGAGCAGATCTGTGGAGTATCTGGCACTGCTTAAGATTTTTTGACTGTAGGAAAAGGCTTCTCCTAGTAATAAGTGTTGCTTTTTGCAGCTGTTTACGTGACATTATTTAAAGCATGACTATCCTTTTTTTTAAACTTCAGAATTACTTTGTGAAGCAAGTTTCCAAGAAGTTCTTCAGGAAAGCATCCAGAACACAAAAGCACACGAGTGGATTCCTTTATGGCTTCTCCGGTATTCAGTCATTGTTAAAAGCAGAGGAATTATCAAGTCCAAAGGCTATATCATGCAAGCTAAAAGAAATGCCTCTTAAGACACTTTTTATTTTTGAAATGGCTTACTGTTTTAATTTCTTAGGGACGGGGGGAACATTGCTTTTCTCATAGAAACACTTTTACAGCATTTGTAACAAAGACCAAAAGTTGTAATTATTCAGCGTGGTGTCAGCAGTGTTCTAACACTATTTTTCTTTCTTAACCTATTGACCAGTTCATTTAAAATATGAAATATTTTGGTTTTGTTTTTAATTGAAATTATCTATAGAGGAGCAGTTTAAAATATTTTTCTTTGTATGACCAGTTCACTGTAAAATTATCATTATATTTTAACTGCCATTAGGTAGTATAGAGAAACTTATATATTTTTATTTTTTAAAAAAAATGAATTTCTCTTAAATAACAGCTACTTATCTGGTAGGTACATAGATTTCAAGCATTCAAGGACTAGTTTTTATAGAAAATTGTCATCTTTTATGAAAAATTACCCCAAAAAATTAAGCTGGTATCTCACTACTTAGTATGTATATATAGGCAAGTCAGTTGTTAATTTGTGTGGATGGGAAATGGGTTTATTTTTAATATAGTGTAAAAGACCTCTATGATTTAGAAAAAGTGCATCTTCCAAATTACTTTCCGACTGTTACTTGAATTCCTTCTGGCTTTTGTGCCTCAGTATGCTTTGTTTAGTGTTTGCACAAGTGTGATGGCATCTTTACTGTTTGAAATGGAAAATGTATTATTGTGTGAATGTTTAAAATAAGAATTTTTTAAAAGTGATGAAAAGATCTGTTAATCAAAAATTGAATTGTGCCTGTTGTCGTCTCAACTGTGATTTGTTTTTTTTCCTGATACTTGTGAAATATGCAATCAGAATCGGCCAAGTCAGAACAGACAGTAAATGTTGAAGCTGTTCACTATAGGATTGTGTAAACCAGATGACTTCTTTTGGGGTTGCCTAGGAAACTTTGTTGTTTGAGTGCAATTCAGAAATGATGCAAGCAAGGATTAGCTTGAAAGTTAGGTATATATTTCTGTTTGGCAGTAGCTTAGCGCACTGGCTTTTGAATCCTGGAGAGGTTGCTGCAGCTAAGGCAGGGCTTCGGGTTTAATGTAGTCTTTCTATCGAAAAGGCCTTTTCATTTCCTTGGCCTTTAAATCGGAGCAGACAGCAAAAGCTCAGCTTGTAGTTAGGCAGGAGCTTGATACTGAGTGTCTAAAATACTAATTTTCCTTCTGATTTTGGGCAGGAGCACGGCCTCGTACTAGTAGTACTCATTAACTTAGCTGTATATATTTTGAGATTTGGACTGTAAGGGAATGAATTTTCACCGCCAGCTTTCAAATTCTGTCATGTAGGCAGCTAGTGGAATTTGAATGCTTGTAGGCAGCATCTAGAGTGTCAGCTTCCTATGATCCATTCCACTAAGTTAAAAGATGAATCTTCTCAAGATACCTTTTGAGTCCTCAAATATAATACCTGTAGGTGGCAAGTGCTGGGAAATTCTCCTGGACTTCTTCAGCTTTTTTGATAAATGAGAGGGAGGGAGGGAGGGAAGTGGAACTAGTAATGTATCAATAAAGGTTTGGGGTTTTTTTCCCTATCAAAATGTAGTCTTTTTTTATGTTGGGTCAGTGTATTTCAGAGTTTCAAAATTACATGAGTTTAAAATTAAACTTCCCTACCAGCTTTGAGTTGTGTGCTGCTGCTGATTAACCACTATCTGTAAATTCTGTCTGTTTGGCTGCTGACATTCTGTATTGTATTCAGATTCGCATGTGTGCTCAGTTTTATAAATTGAAATGCTACAAAAGAAGAATTGTGCTAAAATGATGTATAGGCTGCTCTACTGGGATAATTATTTATTTCCTTTCTGTAAACTGTTCACAATTTGCTTGCTGTAGAAGAGTACCCTTTAAGACATGATAACTTCAAGACACGAGAGTCTTATTTTTCTAGAGTTGCTGGTAGAGTAACATTTTATCAGGGTATCTCATTAATTTGTTTTGTGTCAAAAGCGGGAGAGACGGGATTTTCTTCCGTGAGAAACTTGAAAGTTTGAATTAAAATTTGAAATTCTTGTAGGCTTTTAATCTGTGCTTCGTATGAATTCGGTATTTCACACTGTCATAAACAGCATTTTACACTTTGTCGTACAATAAGGCTGCCTTAAGCGCCCTACGCGCTGGGATGTCGTCGTCTGAGGGCTGTG